TAGAAAAATGCTTAAATCGAGTTTTTGTCTCTTGAAGGATACTACGATCAGCTGCAGTACTGTTACGGTACGACATTCTGTCACGGACCGAAGGCGGAGGGATTCGGTCAGGAGAAAGTCACTATGCAGCAGTGCTGTGAGTCCTCATCCAGTAATGGCTGGGGAACCTCGGGAAACCGGTGTGACGATTGCGCAAGTAAGTCGTAAAACGCTAAAAGTTATTTTAAGAAGTTTGACACAAAATTACGTTACTTCTACTGCTATGAATATGTCCATAGTGTTGTCACGGACAGGACGTATTAGGGATAGCCCGTTCCTGATTCCGCACGTTGATATATTTGTCCCGTCGTTACCGTCTTCTTGTCCCTTTCATATTTTATGTACTTCTCAAAAAGAGACTCGAAACCAAATGTTTGGAAAAACAGCAACTGCAAATAGAAAGCCATTCCGGTCCAGAAAGGATAATGACTGGTGTAGAAAGAACAACGTTCGTCGTGTCCTGTATAAATAGACGACTTTATCTGAAACCTGTTATAGAAATTATAGTCTTGATATGAATAATAATGGTGAGTCACAGGAATCTTTAGTGTAAGTATCGCTCTTGTTAGGAATACGGGGGCCATATTGGTCAATATTAGGGTTTGTCGACAACACCAGAGTGTATGTCAGTATCGTTGTAACAGAAGAAAGAGAAAATGTAAAAGCCGGATCAGGATTCGAACCCGGGCTCCTCCGAACTCTAGACGAACGCTCTACCAATTCAGCTACCTGGTCGTCGAAGATCGACCCAGTCCAGTTCCGCTACATATGTGTGTAGGAAGTACAGATCAGTTCAAATAATGTTAAGAAGTTGCTTGCCTTTAAAATATCAGCCTTACGATAGATAGCAGTAAAATTGGGGAGAATTGTTACCTATGGAACGTAAAGAGTTCAACTGTTATGACATAAACTGCAATGATACCTTTTATACGAGTCCATTTATCCGATGTGTATCTTGTAGACCGCATGTATATACAGATTCGATTGATATGATCACGTTATAATGTTACCATCCAGTTACTTCGAATGTTTTGTAGATGTCGATCATTAACTTTTTTTTTATATTTGTTCATACATTAAGATACATTTCATACAGATTTTAAAAGCCCTATTAGTGTGATAGGCCAGGATCACGACGTCGGTTTCCGTACCTGTGTCAGCTTTGGAAGATACTTCTTCCGTACATTTGATGGCAGAGAATATAATTTCGCGGGTACCTGTAAATATGTGCTATCAGCGGACTACGCGGGTCAGTGGCAGGTCTACCTTGAACCGATCGGCTGTGACTCCCTTGACACGTGTACAAAGGTAAAGCATCGCATCATGATTGAGTTATTTAAATAAACAAAACAAAATTACGCTAATCACCTTTTGAGCAACTGGGCCAGCATATAGCGCACACACAACTTTTTCACATTTTAATTTCTAGAAAATGTACAATTTGATCTAAAATAGTAAACAGAATGATTATTTTTATTTCAGAAAATAACTGTGCTTGTCCATCTGCACAAAACACTCGAGTTATTTGAGGGAAGGTGCTTCGTCGACGGCCAGGAAATTGATTTGGTTGATAAAGTTCCTATTTCTTCCGCAGGTACGTATAGACCAGGTCTTCTAATTGTGTTGAGCTGCACTGATTATGGCAGCTTTTATGTATCAATGTGTTACTTACGGGTTTGTCATACAATAGACTTTCTGCTGCATATACAGGATCTTACTCCACATCTTGTACAGAATCATAGATTGGATTTGTTACAGGATATGTGTTGGACACAAACTGTAGTGTAGGTTCGATACTTGTATTTGTTCAATAACGTGGACAAGAAACCTATGGATTAACTATATATGTATAATCACTCACACATCGCTTTCACAATGACCGGAATGTGGATGGGTGCTATATGTGCTGAACGTGCACATACATACATACATACATTCGTTCTCTCTGACATTTTGCGCGATGATTTGAATGATTCCCAACTTTGTTAAATATCCCTTGGCATTTCTCATACATTTATATACCCAGAATGCACACATTGATTCATGGATATAATTAGAGACTATTGCTCAAGAAACAAAAACGTTCTTTAATGTAATGGTTATAGGATTAACTACATGATAATTACGAATCATAAACACAAAACAACTTCAACAGAACACAGAAATAGGTAAGAGCAATATTTTTTGAAGGAACTAATCCGACTATGCACAAATGAAACAACGAACATTGCGCGCGATGGTTTGAATGGTGTATTTGAACACCATGCTGCATGCACGATATAGCAGTGTGTATTTTTAAAGTTTAACCTTTTAATTGTGTGTGGTGTTTTTCAAACATTACACGCATGAATGCCATTTGCTATTAATATGACGTTCAACCAATAAAACCAAACTTAAGCATAGACACGTCATTTACATGGACAGTCATATTATCTTTAGTGGTTACAGTTTATCGAAATATTATACATGTTAACTCATGAATGTTACATTGCATATACAGGTTACATGTTGATGCGGAACGGAGACTGGATACTCGTGTCTACGTACGAGACCAAACTGAGACTTAAAGTCAATGCCAAGGCGACTGTATACCTGACCATGGACAACGATTACGCCACTAGTATGTTAATGGTTGTCGGATTGTGTGGAAACAACGATGGATTCTATCAAAGTAGGCAACCGTGTCCATGTAATTCAAATGTGAAGAAGCCAGTCATCTGTGTCCTCTAATTCAAATATCTATATTTACATTTGATGTGCATCCTCCCATTGCAATGCAATGAGAAGGCAACTGTTGTGGCGTCATCAATTTCATTGTTGTTAAAACTTAACTTGCTGTTCAGAGAACTATTCGAAATAGTTAGAAACTTAATAAACCATAACTACTCTATCGAAATGTAAATATAAATAATGAATATCTTAGCAAATTTTGTTATGTTCCTATAACACACATTGCTATTGCTGACAAACTTGCGTAAAGCAGAGCGTTTATAAGTCATCAATAGCAATGTGTGTTATAGGACCATAACATTTGCTAAAACATTAATCGCTTTAAACAATCAACCAATTAGTCTTTAGGTTGTAGAATTTGAATCAATGAGATAAGCTAGCAGGGCTAGACTGACACTTTTTATATATCAAGGATGTATTATGAATAACAGTTGAATGATATTACTAAACATTTTCTTTGGGTTGGTAAGTATGAATAATATATTTTTTTGTATCACAACCAGTACTTGTTGTCATACCCGTTCTACTAATTATAATACGTGAATGATACAGGCCAGTTGTACTTCTTGCTTCCTAAATATAATTATTTGGGAACAAATACTTAACTACATTCATAGGCTGGCTGGTTTAAATAGTAAATGGTGTTGCAGTTTCCTTTTGCAAACTAAACCTATTTAGAAATCGGAGATACGCCAGCAGTCCGAGGTAGACGTTATATAGGGATCGGATATTAAACCTTCTGTTGGGGTAATTTGGCAATAACTATTGATGGTGTGTGTTTCTTCCCTCGACTAACAGACGACTTCATGACCCGGCTAGGAACTACAACTGTTGATGCCGCAAGCTTCGCAAAGTCCTGGATAACCGACGATTACAGCGATGTGAGTATTAATAATATACAACATTTGACGTAGCGCCCTATCTAGCTATTACAATAATAATATACAACATTTCACGTAGCGCCCTATATAGCTATAACAATAATAATATACAACATTTGATATAGCGCCCTATCTAGC